GTCAAGTAATTCGTGCCTTCAATCCGGCAGATCTACTTGAAGCCCACGTTAGAATTAGGAGAGAAATGCAACTATCCTATTTCGAACATCAAAAAATGAAAGACCAAACCAAACACGCCCTCAACAAACAATCAGACGAAATCCCCAACCAACATCCCAAAGAACCTGTCATACTTATGGTCAGATAGGTCATATTTCCACAGAGTGTCGAATGAGACAACAAAGACCCCAAAATAATTATCAATATTCCAACCAAAAGTTTGAGAGACCAAACCCTCAACTCAATCAAAATTTTTCGAGCCAAACAAACCCTCAACCCAATCAGAATTTTTCAAGACCAAACTTTCAAACAAATTCTCAGCCAAACAGGTCTCAGACTAATGACATTTCATGACATATGAATCTTAAGATTATCATACAGGTGATAATCAAGACTATCATACAGCTGATAGCTATAACTATCAATACAACGATTACTACCGCACCGATAATGACTATGATTACTATACCGCTAGTGATCAAGATTACCAATACAAACAAATTCGAACACCTGAAGATCCGTCAATATACCAGGATTTTCTTTCACTCCCGAATACGAACCACCCACCTATTCAACCCCAGACAACCAACAACAAATCGATCGACCCTATATCAGAAGTCCAATTCCAAATTCAGTCCCTGAACATACAAGACTTCAACCCGAACGTGAACTTCCCGGAACAAATTTTCATGTAAGCTCTATGCTTTCTATGAATTCGAAGAATCTGTACTACATCAAAGACTCTTCTAATACTTTTAAAATCCTCATCGATACAGGTGCAGGAATATCCATTTTAAAACCCAAAACATGCAAAAAATACCCCTTTAGATTCCCTAAAAACGTTACTATACAAGGTATCACTGAGCAGAAAATTGTCGTGAATGAATCCACTTTGATAAATTTCACACAAAACGATCCACACAAAGTCTTTATCTACGACTTAGACATCGACTTTGACGGTTTACTCGGATCTGACTTTCTCGAACATCACAATTGTATAATTGACCTGAAAAATAAACAACTTATAACAAATTTCAAAACTGTCCCTCTGTTCAAAGTTTCAGAGATAAAGGACCATATACTCACTGAAAAACCGAACCAAATTCAAATAGAACCCCGAATGGAGAAAATATCCAAATTACATTGCAACCTCAAGAACACTGAAGCTATACTGCTAGCTGAAGAAAGAGAAAAAGTAAGAATTCCCAACGTCATAGTCAAAATTGATGAAAACGGCATGTTCTATACTTCTATCGTAAATACAAACGCGATCCCAAAACAAATTGATTTTTCTGAAATAAAACTCGAACCCCTTCTAACACATGAAACAAATTTGACTATTAATGAATCGTTTTCCCAAAACCAACCCCATATTGATCGTATCCAAGAAATCAAAGCGCAACTAAGAACCGAACATTTGAACGAAGAGGAACATCAATCAATAACTGATATATGCATCCAATTCGAAGATATATTCTTTTACCAACGAAATAAAGCATATCATTGATACTAAGGATGCTAGACCGGTCTTTACGAAATTCTACGTATCCACAGGTGCACAATGAGGAAGTTAAAACACAAATATCAAAAATGCTAAATCAAGGTATTATTCAGCCATTAATATCCCCATGGTCATCTCCAGTTTGGGTTGTACCCAAAAAGATGGATGCTTCCGGTAAACAGAAATGGATAGTTGTCATCGATTACCGAAAACTCAACGAGCTAACGGTTGACGACAAATACCCATTACCAAACATCTCGGACCTCCTAGACCAGCTTGGTAAATGTGAATATTTCACAACGCTTGATCTCGCCTCCGGATTTCATCAAATTGAAATCGAACCCAAAGATATTCCCAAAACGACTTTCTCCGTAGACAATGGTCACTACGAATTTGTTCGTATGCCATTTGGCTTGAAGAACGCTCCAAGTACGTTCCAAAGAGTTATGGATAATGATCTTCTAGGTATACAGAACGAAAGATGTCTTGTATACATTGATGACATCATCGTATATTCTCCTACCATCCATGAGCACATAGCAAGTTTGACCGAAGTATTTAAAAGACTTCGAAAAGCGAACCTAAAAATCCAACCGGATAAGTGCGAATTCCTGAGAAAAGAAGTCGCCTATCTTGAACATGTCATTACCCAAAACGGAGTCAAACCCAATCCAACGAAAATTGAATGTATCCAAAATTTACCAAAACCAAAAACTCAAAAAGGAATAAAATCATTTTTAGGTTTAGCTGGATACTATCCATTTGTAATTTCGCCAAAATTTCAAAACCATTTCCCAAATTACTTCAAAAAGATACCCCCTTTAACTTTGACGCAGAAAGCAGACAAGCATTCGAACAACTTAAAAATGCACTCATAACAAGCCCCATTCTCATTTACCCTAATTTTGAGGAATCATTTTTGCTCACAACTGCCTTTGCAATTGGTGCCATTTTATCGCAAGGTCCCATTGGCAAAGATCTCCCAATAGCATATGCGTCTAAAACACTTTGTAGCGCAGAATCGAAGTACTCTACAATAGAAAGAGAACTTCTCGCCATCGTTTGCGCAGTAAAGCATTTTCGCCCATATCTTTTCGGACGAAAATTCCAATTAATTACTAATCATAGACCCCTCACCTGGCTTTTTTCAATAAAAGATCCTGGTAGTAGGCTGGCACGCTGGCGACTCAAACTCGAAGAGTATAATTACCAGATAGAATACAAATCCGGCAAAATCAAGAAAAGTGCAGATGCACTATCCCGGATCAAAGTCAACTACTTTAAAGAATGCGCGAATTTCCAACACAAAATTTCCATACACGCATCTAACTAAAACGGAACCGAAGTAAAAGCGGATCCCAAAATAAATGATAACCCTTACGTAAACAACCCTGAAGAAAATAATAACCCCGAAGGAAACGACATCTCCAAAAACGAAATACCCGTAGAAACCATTCAAGAAGAATTTAATACATTTGTTAATTTATATAAATCAAAATCTCTAATCGGTTATTCTAAAATAGAGTTCGATAATTCTCAACTTCTTGACAAACATCATAAAAACATTGTTAGTTTCTTTTGGCAAAACAAACTAGAACCGTTACATTATGAAATCATCGAAGACCTCTTCGAAGAACATCCAGAGTTTTACAATGATAGAATCAACATACTTTCTAGTAAATCAGTAAAAGATCGTAAATACTACATCATACCCCTTCCTTTTGATCCTGAATCTGTCATAGAACACATGTTCTATATTATTTATAAATCCCAAAATGAATTCGATCTAAGAAAAAC